CGAGCTATCTCCCGTTGCTGCCTCTTGTTGCTCTCCATCAGCATGAAAACAGCATGCAAATAACAAAACGGTTAGGACAACGGTGACACCTGCAAGCATGTGAATCAAGAAAATAACAAAGTACGTAGCCAACTCACTTGGACGGGGTGGTGCATTCCACCGTCATAAATCTTGATGTTACCGAGCCCATCAAGATAAGTCCGGCCCTCATCTGGAACGGCCTGGGAGATCACCTCGTGGCCGTCAATGATCTCGTTGAACACATCGCCCTTGACGGGGTATTCAACCTCCAGCTTGTAGGTCCCTCTGACCAACTCCTTGTCGGACCTCTTCTTCCGAGAGTCTTGGACGATAGGGAGTGGCTGAGAAACAGCAGCAGATGAAGGACCCAAAGTAAGGTCCACAATGGCGTCAGCATGGGATCCGCCATTGTCTCCGACTGGGATGGCCAGGGTACCGACATCAGGACCAGACGAGGGAGAAGCCCTCTTGGATTTCTTGGAGGGCTGCAAACCAGCCTTCGTCAACTTCTTCTGACCGTCATCCACCGACCGTTTATTCTTCGGCTGAGTAGGCGGTTTCTTCGGCTGGTCAGAAGTAGGCTGGGCTCCACTGGCCGACGGCTGCTGTGCAGCCCCCTGGGCCGCAAACTCCCCGGCCGCTTTCACACCAGCCCTCTTCATCATAGATCTGCGGCCCATAACAAAGCCTGCACGACAAAAGACAATGTTAGCAAAGCAAGAAAGTAAAATGGGACCAAGGCCGCTAGGAGGGTATTATCATCGGCTTCGGCAGACACACCCAAGAACGGGCCATCAGCCTCCTCAAATTGCGTGGTCATCTTTGGCCACAGGTCAACATCATCTTCTGCATCCCCATAGACGAAGTACCTCACAAAGCCGAGAGCAGTCATCTTGTACTCTGTGATGTACTTTTTCACGCTCCTTGGCCCACCTTTCAAGAACACCTCCACCTAAGCATCCAGGATTGCGCTCTTCGGCACCTCATGGAGGTTGAACTTCCCAGTATGGCCGATAGAAGGAAACTCGGTCTCTCCTTCGCCTAACGACACGAAGACAAACTTACTCTTCCAGCCGTGGATGGATGTCGAAAGATCAGTGAAAGACCTCTTGTTCTTCACCTCCTGGAGGTTAGCATAGCCGGCACAATTCTGGTGGCTACCTCGTCCTATTTGGTACAAGTTCATGAGCAGGGCCGTCATCGCTGCGAAGTCCAACTCGGCACAACGAAGCAGGAACCCGATGATCAGGGAGTAACTGTTCAGGGTCAGCAAGGCCGGAGGAAGGTCCACCATGTCCAAATACTCCGTGATGAACGGATGAAGGGGGAACCTAAGCCCCTTCGAGAACCTCATGGGATATACCCCAAAGTACCCAGTAGGGGGATTAAGTACGTGGTCCGTCAGCTTGGGCACCCTAACCCTACCAAACGGCCCCACGTACATCTGGGCAACCAAGTACTCATCCGCGTTGCTCTGCGGTCTAATAAGATAAACGTTGGTAAGGTCCAAATAGGAGAAGCCCGGGCCTTTCTTCGGCCGACGCCGCCTCTTCGGCGGAGCTGCCCCTTTGACGGCAGAAAGGGGATTAGGGCACGGTATGGCAGTCGATGTAGATGCTCCGTCCACCGCACGCGAAACTCCAACATCTTCACCCTCAGATGACGAGGCGGTTTCCTCGTCCATGCTTTCCTCGTCTTCTTGCGCCCCTGATCTGAAAGGGCTCAATTCAATTATCTCCTCACAACACTCAACTATCACTTGGTAATCAAGGGACTTGGCGGAAACTTCATTGTCGTATGGGTAGTACTCGTCGTCCAAGGGCTTCGCCATTACAACTACTCAAGCCCTATTGGGGACTATTTGGGATCTACGTACAACTCTCCTACGAACACTAGATCTAACCCTTGGGATGCAAAATGTAAGGAAAAATGCAAGAACGAGTGATGAACTAACCTTGAAGATTTGAAGGAACCAAAGAACACTTGAACGAGATTTCCTCTCTCTAGAAAATTAGGCAACACTTCGTTTAGCTCAGGATGCAAGTGAGGGACTTCCTTCAGAAGGGATGGTATTTATAGACCTCCCCCAACGGTCACTACACGTGGCACCCTCCCAGTGGTCAAATGAACTGCCACCACCCTAGGGCCCAATAAGGTGCCACCAGTTCAAAAGTTGGGCCAGGCCCACTTCCCGCACTCAGCCCACTTCCAAGGAAAACACAACAATTAAAGGAGCCATCGAACAACACGTACATCGGTTGCATTCTAACGGCCACACCAAAGCAGTCAATGGCTTGCCCCATATCAGAACGCCACCTCGGCATCAAAAGCTTCAAGGGAGCCCGTATCAGCTATACATCTCCTCAACAGCATGGCCCCTTCAACGACCTCGAAATGAAAGTGGAGCACAACCTAAATAGCCATCGGACCTCGTACAAAACCTACTGTTGATAACCTCTTGAAAGCTACATGCGCCCAAGAGTTCTCCCACAGGGTTACCTTGGTCAGGAATCGCCAAGAGGTTGGATTCAGGAGAAATACGAGGATCCCGCTTCGGCTTGGGATGTTACTTTACTCCTTCACCCCTGACTCATCTTCGGCCTGAAGCAGTGGGGGACTGGGGAATACACCGGCCTCTAAACGCAAGGATGAAACTGAAAATCCAAAAGCGCACAAGTATACAACTGCAACAACGTCGTATCGTCTATGCACCATAATATTCAGGACCTCGTGGTGCACCCTCGGCCGCAACAAAGTAAGCAAATAAGGAAGCAAAGCTCACCTCCCAGAACGTGACACGTGTCGTCCCTCGACACATGGCGCTCAACGGTCTTGGGTCACGTACTCCATCCTCGGCCAAGGTAAGAAAATAACACCCCAACGTCCACAAAACCAAGGATGCACAACGTCCTTTGGTTAAGTGCCATTATCATCCTCAAAGCCATGGACACCAAACTACGAATAATATCGCTTCGGCCTGGAGCACTAAAAGCAACCATGGTGCCTCCTCGGCCAAAAACACAAAAGGCAACCAACAACAGCCAAAGAGAGGTCATGTCACCCCCAAAACTGAGACCACTCATCGGCTACTCAGGCCATGAAACTCATCGTCCTAGAGCACAAAAGTGTGCACCATCCTCAGAACAAGAACCTCCTTCAACCACAGCAGAGGCCACAACGGCTAAACACAGAGGTCACACAACGGCCACAACAGAGAATGCACACAACGGCCAAAACAGGGAACGTCCACAGTGGCCAAAAACAGAGAATGTCCGCAACGGTGCCACATCGGCCAAAGAACATCAAGACCACGGGAATCTACTCTCTTTCACTTCGCCTGCATCTCAGCTTAGAGAGTGGGGGACTCTTGATGACCCATGACCCACATACTCAGAAAAATAAGAAGCACAGCTGGCACCCAGCGGGTCCTCCGTCGGCCAGATGGCCCTTCATCGGCCAGAAAGATGTCAACTCAGAACATGATCCGGAAGTCACGAGAACCGGGTGTCTCTATCATCCGGGTCTCCATTGGCCATGGCTGCGTCAGCCAGACCTCCGTCGGCCACAGAGAGCTCACAGAGCCGGATTTTATAGTTAGCCATTTCTGCATACTTTGTACTCGGCCCAGTAGTGGCCCCATTATAAATGGGCCTCCCAAGCCCAAAGACCTGGGAGCCCAGGCCACATTTCCTCTATAAATACTCCCCTTGGGAGTAGTTGTAGGGGTTCACAAAATTCATTTATTACAGTATTAATTGCACTTCTCTCTCTAGCTCTCACTTCTCTTTAGAACATATACTCTATCAGGATCCATGCATCGGGGAAGTGGTAGAGGCCGGTGGGTTTCAGATGTAACGATAGATGGGTTTCAGAGAAGAAGGGTTTCAAAGAGGGGTTGCGATGGGAGGATTTATGAGGGGTAGCGTAGGGGGGGCTGCAGGGGGTAACGATGGAAGGGGTTTACGAATGGTAGCGACGGAGCAAGGTGGAAGCGGGGGAATGAAGTATTGCAGAAGGGGGAGAGAGACGCTGACAAAGGAGAGATGGATGTGAGGTACGTAGGGGGATAGAGACGTTGACAAATTAGAAAATAGGGAGTAGTGAATGGGGAAAATATGGAAAAGGGATATGGGGGTAAAATAGTAAATGGAATGGAAAAGTTTCCAAATATATAAAGTGGAACTTTGTTTTGGAACTACCCGAAAAGGAAAGGTGGAACTTGTTTCAGAAACGTAGGGAGTATTAGTATGAGTAGGACCAAATGTACAATTGGCATCCAACAATCAACTTTCCAATCATAACTAAAAAGTTATGATTGGCCCTACCCGGCTCGGACCGAATATGTCGAGCTTTTTTCCGGTCCCGTTTTTCATACCCCAAGAAGTTTTGGGTAATATCCGGGTAGGGCAAAAACCCGACCCAGCCCGGACCGATCCCACCCCTACGGCCAATCACTTATATTTTGCATTTTCTCGAATCCAACTCAATTACAAGTGCATCAAAAACTACATCCTCTTGAGCGGATGAGATATTAGGAGTTTGAATTGAGACATCCAGCTCTGGTGCGCACTGGTGTATGGGGCCTACTGCAACTCTGTTGACTGAGTCACCGTGACTACCTTCACATCATCCTGTCGGGTCGGGGTGAGGGCTCCTGGGATGGGAGATTCCACCTTTTTAGATCAATAAAAAGAACGCAGTGTGATTTTTTCCTCTTTGGAAGTAGAATGAGTGGTCATACCTACTAAAATTAGCAAAAAAATTAAAAAACTAATTAATATTTTATTTTAATTCATATAATTCATTTTCATATTTTAAGAAAATTCACAAATCACATTTAACATTCCTGATTTTCTATTTCACAATTCAAAGCACACAAATCAACTGTGACACACTAAGTGACTAACACAAACTAACTTAACAAATAAAATACTTAAACTAAACTAAAAATTGTAAAAACCAAAAACAGAAACCCTTACCTTGGCTTAGCAGACGAGCAGAAGCAGACGGCAACACACCAAGTTGGTTGTGCCGAGAGTCGAGACTGGAGTCCTCAAGGCTTGAGAGAAGAAGACAGCAATTTAGAGACGAGCAGGAGCAGACGGCGAGCAGCAGATGGTGCGTTCGTGCGTGTCCGGCCTCCAGCGATGAGAGCGGCGGAGCGGGCGAGCGTGGAGCGGTGAGTGCGATGATGACTGAGGCATGCGACAAGTGCGTGAATCGTGATGCAGCTGCTGCGCTTCTTTGCTTTAGATTAGGTCAGGCAGGCCCTGGGCTGAGATTTGGGTGGGACGAGGTTTGGGAATTGAAGACCCGGTACCGGCTCGGGTTGATCTGATCCGGCCCCCGGGGGCCAGGTCAGGTCTAGCTTTTTTTAAAAAAACTTTTGTTTTTCTTATTTATTCCTACCTTACCCCCATGGCCCCAAACCACCCAACCCCACCCGCCTAGCACCCAATCCATTCGAAAAAATCAAAAAGAAATATTTGGGTCTGGACCGGCCGGACCGGGCCACTAAATACCCATCCCGTAGCCCACCCCAACCCCCGGTTCGGGCCCCAAAGCCCAGTCCCGGGCCCTGTCAACCGGGCCGTTACCGCACAGTGGCGGTTCGGTCCGGGTTCTGGGCCGGTCTGAACCGGCCCAATCCACCCCTAAGGCCCTAAATAGAAGCTATAACCATTTACTTGAAATCTTTCAAAAAAAACTAATTACTTTTAATGGTTCTCTCACTTTACTAGTTCTTGGCTCAAAAATCAAGCTGAGGATATAAAACGGTGCTAAATTTTTTGTGGGAAAAGGGGGCAAATAAGCCCACAATCCCACATAGTAACCAAAAAAGTCAAAGAAGCCCTTATATAGGAGGCTCTTTCCGACCGTCATCATTTGGGGCAGTTCCCAGTGGAATTTTTTGATGAAAATTTTTGAGAATCTTATTCATTATATCTAGTTTACTCATACCAAATTTCAGCTAAAACTTCAATCGACAAGGCATTCAAATGAATTCTTGAAGATAACTACGCACTTAAAAGCGCAGTTATCTTCAAAAATTTATTTGAATGTCTTCCTAATTGAATTGTTAGCTGAAATTTGGTATGAGTAAACTAGACTTAATGAATAAGATTCTCAAAATATTTCATCAAAAAATTCCACCGGGAACTACCCTAAATGGAGACGGCCGAACAGAGCCTGCTATATAAGAGCTTATTTGACCCTTTTTGGTTAGTACGTGAGCTTATTTGCCCCTTTTTCCATTTTTTGTGTATCATAGGAAGAATTATACAACGTTCAAACTCAAGGCTATCATGTAGAATTAATAGTCAAATAACTAAAGGATTACTCCGTATTATGTAATTTTCTAAGGTAACGAGAATATCAAGTTATCAACGTTCAAACGCAAGGCTATCATTCTCATTGCACCAATGTATAGCCCCAACCATTGGGAATGGACTCATTAAAACATAGAGGCACAGAGCTACACGAGTTCCACATAATCAACGACAAAACCTGCCACATGATGTATACATGAAACACTCCAGAAATCAATCATGAACATTTGGAGAACAATAGTTCGATATGCTACTGGCCAAATTACTGCAAAAACACACTGACTGATCAAAGTAAATGGCAAGCAGGAGCGGAGAAAGACGCAACAAAAAAGATCTTTAGAGATTCAATCTTCAAACATCGGGAATGGGAGTTATCGGGCGTTTCATTGAAGCCGACTTGATTAGGTGGTTGTAACTACCTTTCTCCTTGAACAGTTGGGAGAAGTGAGGCTTGCAATACAAGATTCCATCCAAAGCTGCGTAGTTTGACGGTGTTAAGGAGCATCCTCCATGAGAACACTTAAAACACGACTTGTGGTAGGATTGGTTCTCAACTGTCACCTGAAAGTTGTACATGAAAAAAAACTCATGACATGAAAACCAATGCACAATACTTGCTGTATGATAGTCGACTAAAAATTATGCAAGAAAAGGATTATTTGATCGTGTTTTTTCCATTATTTAGTACTCCGTATGTAGTTATTCCTTGACAGTTGACACTAAGCTATTTCCTTTTATTAAGAATCTAAGTTCGTTAAGTAATATTTTATTCTTTTAGATTTTTTTATTAAGTCATCTCACATCAAGCAAATAAAAAAATATGAACTCACATATAAAGCTTACACCAGGCTTATCACCTTTTCAAAATAGTCGATTTTTAATATAGTACCTCAGGTAATTAGAAAGAGACATAACAATCTAGCTATACAGATATTGGGCATCCCAAACTTCTTTTCAGCATATAAGAGCTAAGAGCTTAAGATGGCAAATCTACTTTTTCAGAAACATCCTATATTGATCCAGTCCTGTATTCTAAGATGAAATATTGCAAGGAATCAAACAGAAAGCTACAATCACAATAAGTATTATATTGACTAGCATAATTTGCTCCTTTCTCTATATGAATGATGTCTCAAAAGCATAATCAATCAGTAATATTTACCCCTCATATGACTAAAAGTGATTACCTTTCCCGTAATGTGACTTGGATGTTTATTTTCCTAAACTTTGACTTACACACATGTCCGGCCATGTTATTCATTATGGGGGGAGGCATGTCTGGCCAATATTATGGGGTGGAGTTTTGTTCATTACTAGTACTTTTTAGTCAAATGGATACTAAAAATAAGTCTAGTCATATTTTGGGAATTTTAACAACTTTTACTCATATCTAGGTATTTTTCCCTATTTAAAAATATATAATTTTGAAAAAAAATATCTAACTATGAAACTATTTATAGACTCGTTTCTCTAGAGCCTCGGTACATATATGCAATCCTCCTATCATTGCACATACAAATAAATACAAAATCATGTTTAAAAGAGTGCTACTATTTTGTTAGCCTCACAACAATATTAGATTATGTGCAAGTAAAGAGAGACATAACATTGTGTGAGACAGGACAATCAGTTAGATTCAATCTCGTGATGTAATTGGACACAACCCATTTACAACCAAGTCATCCCCATCGAATAAATACAAGAGCATACATGAAGAGACAAGACCTTGGACTACTACTCACGTTAAGTTGACATTCTAAGATATAAACTCAAGTCTTAATATGATAACAAAACAGATTGAGCTCAAATACGTAATTTGATCGCGACAATCCTAAAAAGCAAGCATGCAATTACATAATATATTAACTGAGCCCTTTTAAAATAGAACCACAAGCCTTAACATTGAAGTTATGATAAACTGCGTCACTCCAACCCAATTATGAATTCCATCATGCTTGTTTATTTTAGTACAGATCTACGTAATTGGTTGCTAGTGTCTTTATACACCCAAAACCTATTCGACTTTCTTGCGTATTTGTGATTGGATTTTTGTTTTCAAGTAGCATTTCAACTAAATCAGCTAGGGTGCTTATCAGCCAAATACAAGTAACACACCAGACAAAGCATGCATGGTTGAGAATTATATTTGAGTGTAAAACTTTTAAATTTGTTCAGGGTAACCTTCTCCAGAGGGTAAGCCGTCTTCCCACAAGTAGCACATTTTTCTTGAGTCCCAGAGAACATTCCAGCAGCTTTGCTACGGGATCTTGTCTATGTATCAATGGGGTAAAATTAATACAAAAAATTAAAGAACCAAAAACTATGATACCAATAAATAGGTCGGAAAAAAATTTACCAGCTCCGGAGTTAACTTCTCAGCTGATTTGGCAGCTGCTGAAGGCAGTAGAAGCATATAAAAATAATTAAGCACATAAGAGGAATCATTAAGATTCTTTTAAAAGGAAATATCTAATGGCAAACAAAACGATATGACTTACGCGACTGGAAGTTCTTATTGAAATTCCCTGATTCCCTGAAGAGCTGCTCAAAATGAGGTTTACAGTACAACACACCTTCCATCGATGAGTAATTACTCAGCTATCAATCCACCACAAGTGACATGGTCCAAATCAAAAGGAATGAATATTAAAGACTTTTACTATAAAAATTTGAGATTTTATCCTAAGAATTGTTCAAAATGTTGACTCCGTGGAGCAGACCAACCTTCATAAGCAATGAATATGACAAATTTTCGCGATTAAAATTTGAGATTCTATCCTAAAAAACTCACAAATGGTCACCCATTGGAACATACAAATCTTCATATCATTGTGCCCATTGTTAATTTGTTTTAAGTTTATGAGGATTATCTTTTTGATAGCATATCAGGACTTTGGAATTCCATCATCAGAAGTCACATATATTGTAAAGAGCTTAAGTTTTACATTTTTGTTTCTATTTTATTTTTGCCCCATGTACAGTGGCTAAACACTCAGCTCACCCTAATAAAAGGGTGTTATTAAAAATCAAACAGTTACATAATTAAGTCCTTCAACATCTAAAATGAGTACATTTGTCAATCTTAAAACATGAACATAAGTTTAGGAATTTCACTTCTTGTCATGCTCTTAAAGATAATTGGATAAACATAAGAATGTTACCTTAAGAGTGCCTTTGCAATGGGTGCATCTGAAACAAGACTTATGATAATTAACTCCATCAGCTGACAATAGCTCCACAGGATACACTGTCTTCTCACAAGCCTTGCATTTCTGTTGAGTCCCAATGAAAGACATCTCCTCTTCTTCCTCCTCTTCTTCTTCTTCTTTTTGTGTACCTAAAATCCAATAAAAGAAAATTCTAGATCTGACCCTCCACACCTAAGATTCAAACTCAGAATCAAACACCTAAAAATCCAATCTTTCCCCCTATTTCGAATCTTGATTGCCATTTTAAGCCGATTTGATGCTAGATTTTTCATGCTCAATTGCCAAAAGGGAAACTAAAGTGACATGAGATCTCTCTTGAGAAATGAGAAAGCAAACCTTGAGAAAAACGTTTTGATCTACTTGATAGTCTCGAAAGGCTTGAGCAAAGCAGAGTTGAGTTCCAGAGACCAAATAAATTACTATGGGGAAGTAGATTCCAGTAGAGGAATGTTAAGTATAAAAATCAGTGTCCAACTGTCCGTACGTTGTGTGTTAGAGGAGAGAGAATGAGGAGATGGCGAAGAGGAGGATGATGGAGAGAGAGAAATAGAACAAAGATATCGTCCCTCTGCACAAGTCTTCGGCTCCACTTATCTGGTCGAAATAGCACATTGCGCGGCTTTTTTGACACCAAAAGTTTTAGAACACGTTTGGTGATGAAGAAAGTAATTTTAAGGTGCATTGTCACTAGGGGATATTTTTCAATAAAGAATAAAGAGAAAATATAGGTGAATAGTATGCTACCAGCCTACCACTAATAAGTAATGTATGGTTTTCA